CAATCGTTTAGTTGAAAAAGATGAAAGAGAAGGAAAAGATGTGGAGGAGAAGGACTCGGATGAAATAAGACTACAAGAAGAATTGAAAGATGAAGAAAAAAGCTGGCAGAAATTATGAGCAGGCAGAAAGTAGAAAAAGAAATTAAGGAACAGGAAAGAAAAAAGAAAGAACAGGATGGAGAAGAAAAAAGCTTGAAGAAATCGAAAAAGTTTTATGTAAAAAAACGATATTAAAAAAATTCAATAAACATTATTCTGCAATTCGCAGCAATTAAATTTAATAAAAACTAATATTGAAGTAGCAGAGTTTAATCATAGAAATTTGGAAAAGCTTTTTCATCCCTTGAAAAATAACAAAAATTAAGAGGAAAAGAAAACAGAAGATGAGAAAAAGAAGAAAATGAGAAAAAAAGAAAAGAAATGAAAATGAGAAAAAGAAAAGAGAAGATTATGAGAAAAAGAAAAGAGAAGACGAGAAAAAGAAAAAAGAAGATAAGAAAAAGCTAGAAGAATATGAGAAAATGAAGCAGGAAGAGTACGAGAAATATTACAGGGGACAATGCCAACATCGAGGAACTTATAACTACAGACAACGAGAAATGCTTCATAATTATCCAACTTTCAATAATTCAAACTATCCTCCTTTTGAACAAGACTTTGATTATGGACGCAATTGCAACTATTACTCTTAAATATTTTTTTAATTTTCTTTCATATTACTATCATTATACTTAACTATTTTTTTCATATTATATATTACCTAAATAATTATTGAAAATTATTATTTGGTAACAAAATCCATAACACAAAATACGATATTGTTCTATACATAGTATTTTTCTATGTATTTAAACATTTTCCATTTATAAACAAAAAAAATTATTACAATTACTTAAGCTTATTCAATATTTATTAAGGGAAGTGTTCCGGTTGTGGGCACCTTTTTGTTTTTGCCTCATAACATTTTTCCATGTGCATATTATACAAATATATGTGTACGAATTTAAAGCTAGAGGTCTAAGGTGACTGTCAGTGAAGGAAGTAAATTGATTCCTTTAAATAAAAAAGTTTTATTAGAAATTTAGTGAAATGGGAATTTTTTGACAAAAAAAATTTTGTACCCGGTTGTGGGCACCCTTGAAAAATCCGCTAAAAATGGAAAAATATTAAAGGAAACCAACACAAATAAAGAAGAAATGAAAGTTTTTTTTATTTTAAGAGAATTTGCCGGGATAAAGAACAAAAATGATGACACGTTTTCACACTATGCTCATCGCTAACAAAAGCATAATGCTTGCATGTGAAGTAGCTAGTACGCATAACATAACGCACTTCGAATGCACTGAACGACTATATTCATCGCATTTAATGGAGTTTGCGGCTGTCACTTTCCTTGGCAGAAAGTTTAGATAGATGAGACAGTAGTCCTCATCATTGTCAGATGGTAGAGCTTCCTTAACATAAAGGTGCCCACAACCGGGAATGAAAGTCAATTTTTAAAAAGACCAACACATTTTGTGATGCAGGATTTTGGTTAAACACGAAGGTAAATCACAAAATATAATGACAACACTGCAAAAAAAAAATTAAACCCTTTTTTTCTGAACGTATCTACACCCATATGTTGCTCTTCGAAAACAATACAAAATTACTTTTTTATTTATTTAATGCAAATTTTCTTTATTATGCTCACAGCTATTACACAAATGCATATATTTGTTTCGTTATCAATACGAAAAGTCCGTATTGTCAACGATTACGACTTGCAATACTTAGTTCAGTAAAGTCTGCTTGCCGTCGAAGTTTACGTAGGGGTGCCCACAACCGGAGGGTGCCCACAACCGGCGCACTTCCCCTACACTTCACTCTTGAAAATTACCACAAAAAATAATTTTTTAATTTTACTGATAAAAACTGAAAAATTTAGGGTTCGAGACCACTATTTTTCTGAAAAAAGCAATATTTAAAAAAATCCGTTAAAAGTTTAAAAAATAAATATTTCGTAAAATTAGAAAGTCATTTTTCGACCAAAACTAATACCTTCTCATGAGATGAGAATGTAAAAATTAATTTTAAAATTCTATTATTCTTGAAAACCCACACTATAATTAAATTCTTTGGACAAATTTTAATTACATTTTTAAGAATAATTACATTTTTCAAGAAGTTCGATTACAATTGTACCTATTATAAATAATTTAAATTTGGCGACGAGAAAATAATTGAATCCCTAAGAAGAATTTTATTAATTTTTAACGATATTTAATGTTTGCGATGAATATTATTACTTTTGAAAATAATTTAATTTTCGCAATAATTTAAAAATTTTGCAAAATTAAATTTTGTTTTCGTGTTTTTCCAAAAATTTTCTCGTAAAAATTTCAATTATTTTTAGAAATAATTAAATTCTTCTCCGAAATTCAATTATTTTTAAACATTTTGATAAAATTTTTGGCAAAATTTCTATTGTTTTCAAAAATTTTCCTCAATTCAATGATTTTTAATAATTATCTACTATTCTAATAAAATTTCTTAAAAGAATTAAATTATTAAAAAAGAAATTTAATAAAATTCTACACAAACCTTTAATTATTTTCAAAAAATAATAAAAATTTCACAGGAATTTCAATATTTACAAATTTTTTAAATTTATTTTTCGCAATCATTTAATTATTTTGGTGAATAATAAAATTCTTATTATGAATTTAATTATTTTGATAAATAATAAAACTCATTGCAGAATTTCCATTATTTCTAATACAATTTTAATTGAATTCTTCGAAGAAATATAATTATTCTTAAAATTTTTATTTAAATTCATCAAAAGAATTAAATTATTTAAAAGTTTGTTGATAACGATTCTTTATGAGAATTGAATTTTACTTAACATTCAATTATTAATTTTTGTATTTAAATAATTGAATTCTAGTAGAATTTTTTCATAAAAATTGATTTCAGTTAAAATTTTAGATTATAATTGGATATTAAAAGAATTAGAGCGTATATTTTTAGCAAGGACCGTCACGGAAATCAAATTTTAATTTCGTTACGATATTTCAAAACAAAACAAAATTATTAATGTATTTTGATTTTGATTCGGTAACGAAACAAAATTTACTTCCTATTTTGATTCTGATACTGTAACGAAACAAAATTTACTTCCTATTTTGATTCCGATACTTACTTTTTTAATTCTGATACTGTAACGAAACGAAATTCACTTCCTATTTTGATTCTGATACTGTAATACTGCAATTCGGTTTTCTTATAGAAACAGAAGTCGATTCGAATTCTACTTCAGATTTCGTATGTAAAAACGATATTATCTTCTGATATATTTGACATTTGCAACAAAATTTAGGTTCAATGAGACTTATACATGCGCAGAAGTATTTTATCAAAATTAAAACAAAAAAGAATTTTGATTTTTATATTGGAATTAAAACTAAATAGAATAGAATTTTGATTTTGATATTGAAACCAAAACGAAATAGAGTGGAATTTTGATTTTGATATTGGAACCAAAACGAAATAGAGTGGAATTTTGATTTTGATATTAGAATCAGAACTAAATAGAGTGGAATTTTGATTCTAATACCAAAATCCGAATCAAAACAAAAGTATTTTTTAATTTTGTTTTGATTCCGTAACGCCACAGTGGGACAAATAGCTCATTTTTTGTTCAAAAAAGTCTAGATCCCACAAATCTTGACCGATTTAAATTTCTTTTTTTTTAAATAAAAGGTGATAAAATTCTTAAGGAGACTGTGGTCATATTTTTTTTAAACCTTTATTGTTATTTTTTTTTTGGCAATAATATAAAAAATAAAAAAAAATTTTTTTTCTATTTCGCTTCGTGTAAATAATTTATGAGTGGCGTAAAATGCTTGTAAATAATTGATCAGTGGCGTAATATGCTTTAAATCATCAAAGAGACTCTTTTAAGTTAAAAATAAATAGTCTTTACATGTTTTTCATTATTATAAAAAATTGTTATAAACAATTTAGCAACATTTCTAAAAAAACAGAAAGTCGTTTTTTATTTTTGCTTGAAAATTGTTACTCGGGGGTTTTTGTGGTAGCTGACTTCAAATTTGAAGTCCGTTTTCAAAAATTCAAAATGGCGGATCCAATATGGCGGATGAAAAATTAAAAATTAATTAGATTGCCATAAAACTCATTACTCGGGGATTTTTGGGATCGCTGATTTCGAATTTGAAGTCCGTTTTCAAAAATTTAAAATGGCGGATCCAATATGGCGGATAATAAAATTAGAAATCAATTAGATTGCCATGAAACTTATTACTCAGGGGTTTTTGGGATCGCTGATTTCGAATTTGAAGTCCATTTTCAGAAATTGAAAATGACATATTATATAATATGGATGAAAGAAGTGAAAATTAATTGAAATTGTTAAGAGACGAATTTTGTTTATGCAGATTGTCTAGTTACAGTAGATTTTTGTCTAAGATAAGCGATGTATGGATCTGAATTGACAAGAAGCTTATGTGCTAAATCTGTATTAGTATCAATTCTTAAACATTTTCGTGTTCTAAATTCGCGGAAGTTTCTGTAATCTTTGTTACGTGCTTTAGATGCTTCTTCAGAGTATTGTCCAATTGGCAAAAGGAAGAACTTTATGACATCTGATCCATGTAATAGTATTTTATGCACAGTTACGGGCATGTAGTACCATGGATATAAAGAGTGTTTTCGAGGACATAGGTTATACTGGTCAGTTGCCACAAAGAGGTGCTCAACCTATTTATTTGAAACTAGTGAGTTTCAATGATTTTGATTGGTTGAAGGAATGCTGTCAAGTATTGCATGTGAATTAAGCTGTATTTTTTCGTCTTTTATAACAAAATAGGTGCGTTTGTTTAGCTGTTCTCTGGAACTTGCTTTTATTTGCATCTTTGTTTTATCGAAATTTATCGAAATTCGTGGTGAGCCACTTGGCTCTTACCTCCCGCTGACCAATCTGAATGTAGCCGTAAAAATGGAAGCAATGGAAGGCAACTTAAACGAGAATTTATTTTTGAATCCAACCGTTCTTATGGGAATTGTTGACAGTTTAAATGATGATGATGAAGTTGAAACAACAAGAATTCTCCTTCAAGATAAAATAAGAGAGCATCATCCGAAAATATCAAATTATTTTGAGGAAGTAATTCCTTCGTACTCAGAATCAGGTATAAATATATATATTTGTTACTTTTAAATCTTGGTTACTTATTTTAATTTTATACAGGGTGTCTAGCGTCCGGGAAAAACGGGAATTTGTCGGGAATTTAGTTCGACCGGGAAATTGCCGGGAATTGAAAAAAATATCCGGGAATTTTTGGAAATTTTCTCTAATTCATTAAAATCTATAAAAAAAATTTCAATTTAAGGTAGTTCTCCGGCTGCTACTCTTTTAAAAATTGATTTTCGATAGATTTTCTTTAAATTTTGAGGAAATATTTCTTCGGATGCCTTTTAAATGTGATAGAAACTTCAAAACCTTTTGCCATGTCAAAAAACAAGATATTGTGGTTGACATTTTTTATTTTTAACATAAACGCATGGAAAAGTGAAAGTTTGAACTTGAATAAGTCAAAATTTAGCATCGCAAAGGGTTTTGAAATTTTTACCACATTTAAAGGGCACCAAAAGAAACATTTCCTTAAAATTTGAAGAAAATAAATTTTTACAAGAGTAGAAGCCAGAGAACTACCTTCAGTCTTATATTTTTCAAAAATGAAAAAAAGATATATTATAAGTATATAGGCAATTTCACGTTAAATTTCAGTCCACATTTTCAATTAGGATGAAAATATATTATTGTAAATCTATTTTTTCATTTTTTATAGGTTACAAAATTTTTGATTTTTAAAAGAAGACTCTAAAATCTATAACTCTAAAACTATTGAATTTAGAAAACTTATTTAATACATACTTACAAATAATAAGGATAGTTTGCAAAAAATATTTTGGTCCCCCTATAGAATAGAAAAATAAAGGATACGTATACCTTTTTTCTAAAAGGAATAAATAAAATATAAAGTAAAGAAGAAGAAGAAAAAGAAGAAGAAGGAAATCTTTACTTTATTATACTTGGCTTAAAATTAAAAAGGAGTTATACACTCCATATCACGGTGGTCCTCGACTAATTTCAACTTCGAGTTTCTTCTACCTCTGATTTTCTTTTTGGGAATGTTAGGGGACTACTTCAAGACCATTTTGCAAGAAAAATTAAAATCGAAGACTGAGCACTTTTTTTTTAACCGAGATTTTTCGATTTTTGAATAATTTTTTTTAAAGAAAAATCGTATTTACTCACCATTTACTCATTATGTGATTATATTTGTTTACTTAGAAGTATACATAACCCAAAATAAAGAAAATTATATAAATTTTATTTTAAAAAAATTATATTTATTAATTAAAAGTAATTTAAATGAACATAACGAACATTTTCAGAAAACATAAATAATTTAAATGTGTTGTGAGTTATATTCACAGACTGCTCGTCGTAATTTTTCAACATAATCTGGATTTTTTCGTGAAACTTTATACTTATTCCATGTCATTGAAAAGTCATAGTGAACAGCTTCCATGGCTTGTTCACTGAAGAAACCTAACCCTTTTTTATGTTTAGCACAAAACTGTTTTACATGGAAAAATACTGCATGTACTTTTGGTGTAATGGAAATCGACGCCCCCCGACGATAAGATGTTTATTCAAATCTCCGTGCAATATAATGTTAACTCAAAAATTCGTGCTATATAATTGTTTTTCAAAATTCCATGCAATATGACTGTAAGTCATTTGTTCGTGCAATATAATGTTAACTCAAGTTGCAGACTATAAAATCTCAATTCATCCACCAGAGCAATATAATGATTATTAAAAAAATAATTCTTCAATATAATTTTAATTTTAGCGTTCGCACAGTTATTTATTTATATATTTCTTAAAATAAAAAATAATTTGCAATTCTTAGTGACAATCCAATATAAGCACATTTAAAACATTATAAATTTCATTTAAGCGGAAATTAATTTCGCTCTTAAAATTTCTTTTTAAATCTTAATTGTTATAATTTTTTATAAAAATTAAAAAAAAATTATTTTTTAAATTTTTACAAGAAATAAGATTCGGAAAAGCATAGTTAAGAATTATATTAAAGTTTAAATCAGTTTTCTAATTTTTATAATCAAAATATTTATAAAGTTATTGCTCAAAATTTTATAAATTACGTGAATTGTTTGTAGCACAGTATAAATAATGATAATAAATTAAAAATAGAACTGGTTAAATAAACTAAATGAAAACTTATTTTTCATTTATTTATATTAATTTATCTTAAACATTTAATTGGAATATCTTTTATTTCATTTTTAAGAATATTTAAATACAAAACACTTACTGCATTAATAACAATTATTAAAATATTTTTTAATATAAATATAAATATATTTATTTATATTTTATTAATTATTTTTATCTATTTATATAATATATATATATAAATATTTTTTAATTTTTAATAATTTTGTATTTGAAAATTTGTGATTCGTCCAAATTATTGGAAAAAGTGATAATGATTTTCTTGATTTTCTTAATATATGCAATATTGCTACCATTTTTTTTACATGAAACGTTTGTAAGGAATCATAATTTTTTGTTCGTTTTATGAAACGAATTTAAAAACTTAGAAATACAAAATTAACAACATAACAATAAAATCAATTAAAATAAATTTCTTATAATTTGGATTTCAGTCCTCATCATCACTTATATTTTGATCGCTGCGGTTGGAAGTGTGGGAAGAAAATGAATTAAAATACTCATGGTACTCGCGTGGAATGATATTCTTTTGACACAAAGTTTTCAAATCCTTTAATTTTGCTGCTGAAAGTCCTTGACAATTCGAATAAACATTTATCAATGAGTATTTCTTCACGTTCACGTTTGTTTTCTCTTTTCTCGTAATAAGTGTAGTGAAACCTCCATCAAAAGCAGTTTTGTATTCCAGTTGATTCGTATTCTCTTTAATGACGGATAGTTGTTTCCATTTCGAAACTTGTACTGGAATCGATCGGCTTTTATTCTTGTTTAATATTGTCTTTGACCAGTTCATTTTCGCTGACAAATCCTTGAAATTGTAAATCATGTTATATTCCACTTTTATTATCTTATAACATGGTTTTGTCAGTTTCGCACTTTCCATTACTTTGCACCAATCATCTAAAGTATAAATTTTTCTCCCCTTGGCATGTCTTTCAATTGTGGAATGCATTGAGTCACCTTCATTTTGAGTGTGCCCAACCTCTAAAAATGAATGTGTGATGTTAACACTATATTTCCAGGATGCATACACAAACATTGAAAAAACATGCCTATTTCGATTTTGGCCAGCGCAATTGTCCGACCATAAATAGAAATCCTTGATGCCTTCGGAAGCCCTTTTCTCAATATAATGAAGCAAACAACTCACTACTTCGTTTGAACCTTTCTTCGCATCATTCTCACTCCAGACGTAACAAAAACCTTCGTGCCTATCGACATCGTAAATTGAGAAATTGTACACAGAAAGTTTACGGCTATAATACATACAACTAGCTTCTGTCTTCGGTGTTGTTAAAACCTTCTGAAAATCAAAGAAAATCATACTAGCCGTTTTTTCGTTTTTAACCATAGTTTTCTGTTCTTCTTTTACTTTTCTCGAAATTTCTTTATTTGCGATATGGTTTTTATAAATTTCTTCCAATTTATCTTTTTGTTCATCTGAAGCATTCTTAAAGCCTTCGCAAGTATCGCACAAATCCTTTTTCGGTTTAAAAAAGCTGATATTAAACTTTGTGTTAAAAATATCACAATAGTGATGCTTTGTTGCAATGGATTTTCCCGTCTCTTTCATTAAATTTACGTACATTGCGTACATTTTGGCAATTGTTAATGTTTCTTCGAAGTACTCTCGACTAGAATCATTTCTTACGTAGTGTGACTCAATTCTAGGGATCATATTTATATGATCAACGACGCTTTGTGTTATTTCTTCACTAATTTTTCTTGGATTATTTTTTGAATGGCCTCGCTTGTCGATTAAATTGGAATCTCCATTTGGGAATTTCTGAAATGCAGTATCTAACATTTGTCCACTAATATTAAGAGTATTTATAAACATCGATTTGCAGACGATAATATGCTTTCCTCTCTCATTAATCGTATAAACCCTAGTTTTCCTTTTTTTCAGTTCGTCCACATTTTCTTCATTGCATTTCTCAGATGCATGTCTTAAAAGAAAATCGTATTTTTTACTATGGTCGGTAATGCTCCAAAATTCAGTAAACAAAGCGATTCTTGCCGATTCAGAAATTTTTTCCTCACATTTGAATCTGCAGCCAGGACCACATGTCCTTTGAACAGAACGAGCAGGCACGATTTTTTTTGTTGTCAACGATGTGTATTCCATTCCTAGATTAGCCGACTTTTTTGCAATATTTTTTTTCCACGTATTCTGCTTGCATATTCTTTTCCTTGTTAGTTTTTCCTTTTCTACATTCTTTCTCTTTTCTCCATCATATGTGGAAGTCGATTCACAAGAAATATTCGTAAAATCATTATTTTCTTCATCTCTAGAGTCGGGTACGTTAAGTTCAACATCGTCATCATCATCATCATCATCATCATCATCATCATCATCATCTGAAGACTGAAAAGCTACTTCTTCCGTAGAATAATCCAAACAATCCATATTTTTTAATAATTCAAATTCATCGTCATTAAGTTCATCAATATTATAATTCATTAAGTCACCTATAAAAATTTTTTCTTGTTGAACATTTTTTATTTAAAATTAAATATAAAATTTTTTAAATCTAAAACAACTATTCTTACTCATATTAACGCCTTTGTTTGGTACTAAATCGAAGTTTTGAATATCAGATTTGCTTTGATCAGAATGTCCTTCACAATTTGAAAAAGAGTGTATTTCTCGAGTAATATTAATTGTTGCATTGTTATCAAATATTTCTAGATTTTTATTTATTTCCGTTGATAAATCTGTGTTAAAATTTGATTGCATTGAATTAATAATTTATTAATTATTACAAATTAATTAAATAAAACGTATATATTCATTTAATTTTTATATTAATTAAAAATATAAATTCCAATTAATAATAAATAAATTAGAACTGTTCCATAATTACTTAGTTTTTAAAATCGAATGTTATAATATAATAGTTATTTTTATAAAAATAAAATCAACTAGAGACTTTTTTAAATTAAAATCTATACCTGTGGAAGTAGATGCTCTCGACTCCATTATAATTGTGACGATCAGCGTATTTATTTTGTATTTAGAAATTTATTTTAAGAGCAGGGGTAAAATATTTTTGTTACGGCACTGTAGTTCGTCCTCTGTGAAGTGCGCACGCGTCGCCGCACCTCGTACAGGTATATAAGCTGGCGCGCGGCAGCGAGCCAGCGGAGACGACGGCCGGTATTACCGCCTGGAGTCACTCTCTGAGGGATCACCCGGAGATGGTTGGAATCACCACCAAGACTCTCTCTCTCCGAGGTATTACCCGGAGACAACGGTCGGAATAACCGCCATGAGATGGAATTAACCTCTCAAAGTACGTGTTTCACACGCTACGTTTTTCGTCGTAATCGTCGCCCGTAATGTACCGTAATCTGTTTTTCGAACGCTGTTTATTAGTTTTCGCCCGTAATTTAACGTCCACGTTCCGTATCTTTCGTTTTTCGTACAATATGTATTTTTCACGTCTTTTTATCACTTAATAAACCATAGTCAAATTTAAATTCCCGAATTGCACTACTTATTTAATTACCTATATTTTTAACGAACTCTGGTTCGACGAGCTAATCCGCACCCATGAAATTAACAATCGTTACATAATAAAATTCAATTAATAATTTGAATGGATTACAGAAATAATTAATTAAATCATATCATTAAATATAAACGAAAAATAAGACGTTGATGCAGAAAATTGTGTCACTTAGGAATTGTCAAAAAACAAATAATGAAAAAATTATTTAAATAGATTGAAGTTGCATCTATTGACAACACAATAATATTCACAAGATTTCTCATTTATGGGTTAAGTTTTAGTGATAAATTTATAATCGAATCATTTCAAATAATATAATAATTTTTGGTTATGATTTTCAAAAATTTTGTAATAATTATTTAAAATAAAGAATTTAATGAGAATTAAATATGTATTTAAGTTTTAAAAAAATTTTAAATACGTAATATTATTGAAACATTTATTTAGAAAAAAGTAAAATAAATATTTTCAAATAATACGATTTTACTATCAACAAATTCTGCTTGAAATTATTAAAAAAATATGGATTTTCGGAAGAAACATTGTATTCTTGGTAAACAACTACATAGTTCTTCAGTCTTTAGACAATGAGTTTGGACTTCTGTAAAATGGAAAATTATATTAAATTCACGAAAAGGACTGTTAAAGTACACCTTTCAAAATTTTTTAAAAGATGATTATATTAAAAATATAATTATGTACCAAAAGGAACATATATTGTCACTAACATTTATATTTCAATAATAAATAATTCTTTTACTTTACTAATTTTTAATATAAAAACAATGAATTACAATTAATAAATATTTAATTAGTTCATTTTTTATTTGAAGACAAAGAAATATTTTTTTCTTTAATCTCTTTTAGCGTAAAAGTCAGAAATAAATATTTTAATAAAAAAAATTATTTAAACAATCATTATATTGCTCTGGTGGATGAATTGAGATTTTATAGTCTGCAACTTGAGTTAACATTATATTGCACAAACACGGAGTTTTGAATAAACATCTTATCGTCGGGGGGCGTCGAAATGTTTAAATTTAGATAATTATCTTTAAACTTATCAATGTACAAAGTGAAATTAGCATCTAAATTTACTGTAAAACAGGATTTAACTACCATATTAAAGCTTTCAAAAGCATCAACATATTTTAAACAGCCTAAGCTACAGCTTGAACGCAAAATATCAATTTTATTTAATAATACTTTACAACTATTTCCTTTAAAAGAAGGACTTCCGTATGTTATTTCGCGTTGAACACTGCACTTCTCTGCCCATTTATTAGCGTCTTCTTCAAATTCCTCCAACATATGTGAAAATAATGTGTTGACGACTCCAAGTAATAAGTGCAATTCCGGGGGAGGAATCAAATCCAAAATAAGTTGATCGCTGTCCGTTTGGATGATAGGTGGATGTATACAGTTTTTGTATTTTTTTGCATCTGCTTTCTTGCTTCCAGCATCGCACCAGTCCATATAATATTTTAGTCCACTGCCAATAGTACGAAGCTCATCGTCATTACTCAGATTATTTTTGTTTGAAAAGCACCAACAACATGGAAATAAACTTGAATGTGCCATAATACCAACAATGATATTCGCCAGTTTTAAATCCGTAGCGATCGTACCATCAAAGTCATTAATGTTTAATGCTTCCCACAACTGTACCACATTTGTATAATTCTCTTGAGAATGAGGAGCCAATGCAAGGATAAATAGTTTTTTAACACTCGAATTTCTAGATTTTTTTGCTTTGATACCATCATTATATGATTGTCGACTACATTTTTTTTCACTTTCAATCATATCATAATCTGTGTCTGATTGTATACTTAGACAAACTTTTAAAAAACCGCCCCCTCCATCTATACCAAATTTCAAATGTTCCTTATTAATATTACGAGACTTTATTGTAGAATCAATTAATTCTTGTAAATCGGTACAATAAACTACCAATTCTGGAGCATCAGATACAGAATTTTGTTTTACATTAAGGAAATTAAAAGTCTTACATTGAAATAAATGGTCCAGAGTATGATTGCTATCAAGTAATTTTCTTTTTAAGTGTGGTTCTATTATTTTCAAATTTCTTGTTGCCGTGCGAATTGCAGTGGCGATCCCAGCAGTAGTTTTATAACTTAAATTGAATTGTGTTCTGATGTTCTGAAAATCTTTTACGGAAAATAAGGTTTCTTTCGATTTTTTTAAATTTCCGATCGTAATTTGGAGGGAATTTCCCCCTTTTGGCTGCAATAACTTTATTGAATTAGAATCACTTTTTTCTCCAATTACACTTTTTATAAAGCTGGATGTTAATTGTTCTTTCGTCTTCAATTCACAATTTTTAGTCATACTTTTTACATTATCCACAATCTTTGATGTTTTACAAATATGACTTTTACCTTTCTGTATAACAGACAAACAATTAGAACAGTGTTTCGTAATTTCATGTTTCGGCGTTTTAATTTTCCTCAAATCAGATTTGCGTTCAATCCCAAATACCTTTTTCGGGATAATTTTTTTCAATCCATTCGTTCTTGCTAAATCACAAAAGTAACACTCACAGGTAACAGATTCACTTAATCTTGTTTGTTTTTTTAAGCGAAATTGTGAGAAGTCTATTTGAAAAATTCGATTCCTATCAATGTCAGAATACAGATTTAATTTGCACGAAGGACACACTACTCTTGGAAGACACTCATTTTGTTCGTCATAACTTTCGAATAATTTAATAATTTTCAGCTTTAATGCTGATTGTATATTAATCATAGTCTTATTTTTGCTACAACACAACAAACAAATAACATAACGGTTTTCTTCATGTGTTCGAGCATGATTTTTTATGATTTTAGGTTTGCTGTGCAACATGATGTTCAAGTCACTAATATTTCATAAACTAATTCTATTCGAGTATATTTAAACTTTTTTGGTTTAGATTTTAACGATGCTCTGAATAAAACGTCAAGATAAACGATAAACAATTTGAAATTAGCTATGAATTGTACTGAATGTCGCGAAGTTGATGGTTTTATAATTTTTTGAACCAAAATACAATAAAAAATATGTTTAAATAAAATTTACATAATTTTCTTTATTTTGTGTTATGTATACTTCTAAGTAAACAAATATAATCACATTATGAGTAAATGGTGAGTAAATACGATTTTTCTTTTAAAAAAATTTTTTAAAAATCGAAAAATCTCGATTAAAAAAAAAGTGCTCAGTCTTCGATTTTAATTTTTCTTGCAAAATGGTCTTGAAGTAGTCCCCTAACATTCCCAAAAAGAAAATCAGAGGTAGAAGAAACTCGAAGTTGAAATTAGTCGAGGACCACCGTGATATACTATAAATAAAATATACTTGTGACGTAGAATTGACCGTATATTATTATTATTTATATAATTGTTGCATACATTTTTAACATTTTAAAGTCTTCAATTAAAAGTTTAATTATAAATCTTAATATTTTTAACTTATTGCAGTTGAACCTCAGTGACTTTTAATGTAAATATCTAAAAGAAGACATAAATGCCATTGGGTATTGCAAAATAATTCAAAAATAATCATTTATCCACAAATATAAAAAAAATAATTGCAATTTCTATTATTTGAACTTTTGATTATCTGAACCAGATCCTGCCTGAATTAGTTCGTATAATTCAGTTTTATTGTATAGTCATTAATGTCTTAAAAATAAATCCGGGAATAATTTAGTTTTAGGTCCGGGAAATCCGGGATTTTGCCGGAAATTTGAAAATCATAATTCGCTAGACACCCTGTTTATATTTTTATTGTAAATTTGTTATGAATAAACAATACAAATTTTATCTTCTTTTACAGACTTCAAAAGTCATTTTTGAATGACACCAACAACCTTCGCTAGATTAGTGGATAATCTGTCTCCATTATTAACTCCCAGAAATGATGGATCAAATGTGTTAAGTCCTGGAAAACAAGTTTGCATTGCTCTGTGGTATTTTTGCAATCAAGATGATTATAGGTATGTTTTTATAACAAATTTTGATAAATGTTATTAAAACAATATCTTAATTCAGTTAATATAATAATCCTATCATGATGTGTCAATTGCTGCGAATGTAGAATTCCAGAAGTATATAATAATATAATATAATATACATAATAATAATAATTTAATATTCCGTGAACTTATTTTAAAAACAAATAAATTGACTACAATCACTTATATTGTAAAGTTTATATATTTAATTTACTTTTCATGATGAAATTTTATTATTTTTAGTAAATTAACCTTTTACATAGAATCGGGTACTTTGAATTTTTTCAGAAAACAATATAGATTCTTCTAAAAATTTGTTTTCCGTCAATTATCATTATTTTCTCATACTTGAATGTTGAATGAAGAATTCTTAGGGTCAAGTTGATTCTTTGTAATTTTTTTTTAGTTTTTAGTTCCCGGTTTTGTCCGACTTTCCTCTATATTAATTTAACTTTTAAAACTTCAGTTTCTTAGAATCACGCATTAGTTATTTGATTTATAATAATAAAATCGAACAATTAATTGTACGACTACGAAAAGCAATGTAGGTTTTTCTTTAATTTTTCGGATGAATACGAATGCTTATTAGTAACATGAGAAATAACATTAAAATATTTTCAAAAATTATAATTTAATCCTTTTGAATTTGAGAAATTTTATTAAATTTACGTGACCTTAAAAAATGTCATAAGAAAATCGAAAATTTATTCTGAAACGGTGAATATGGAACATTTTTAGAGAACTTACAAAAAATTACAATACTGATATTAATTAGTAAAGAAGAGAAAACTGAGAGACAATTTAAAATTTGTAGGATATTCAAAAATTTTTCTGTAGCCATGTTCTGAAATATATTTTTCATTTTATTATGAACATTTTCCCGTATGTACTTTTTCTGTTGTAAGACACTGTAAAAAAATGTATTTGATTCATATAATCGATAAATTTATATAATCAAATAAATATTTACTTGAATTAAGTAATATTTATTGGAGTCAATTAAATGGTATTTGAACCAATAATTTCAGTATTTGAAGCAAATACTGTGATAATTCTTTAAATCATTCACGCGCGCGTAGGACTTTGCTAGTAATTAATAATTTGATAGATAATTTTGGTTATGAGTATTCGAATATGTGTGATAACCACATGACGCAAAGAAATTTTTTACAAAATGAAATCAGTGAAATTTTCACTGATTCAGATTTAGAGTGTAATTTTTTCAAGAAACCTCTATCATTTTGTAAATTCTTATGAGTTTAATCAAATTCTCAAACTTTATAAATTGATAAAAATTTTGAATTCTAATATCATACAATTTTTTTTACAATATTATTTAATTAGTGAACTTAATTTTATTTTCCACTTTTCTTTGAACAAAAAAAAATTGATTAAAGACACTTAAATTTTAAAGTTTAAATATTTAGTATGTTTTTTATGATTACAATAGTATTTTTTAATGAAATCTTAAAAATTTTTATTTCTTTTGGTAAATTCAGTCTCCTATAAAATGATAATTCAGTAAACTTTAAAAAAATCCCGTATTTTCTACATTTTTTGATCCTCTTGCCCTTCCGGTTACGCAGAATCGAGTACTTTGTATTTATTTAAGAAAAAATAATACTTATAAATTATATTAAAAATTTCTCTCCTAAAATTATCAACATTTCAATGTATTCAATATATTTTTCGGATGAATACTAACAATTATTAGGGTAGGCGAACACTTTTTCTAAAAAAAATATTTTCTAATCCTTTTTGTCTAAAAAAGGCGATTTCTAATTAAATCTGTTTTCTGAAAAATTTTTTCTAAAAAGTTATAATTTCTAATGTTTATTTTCCTAAAATTTGTAAAATTCCATAATTTTGATAAAAATTACAAAATTGTTAAAAAATTAAGATTAAGAAATAGAAACTATTTTACATATTTTCTGCTTTTCAATCGCAATATTCTGTTTACAAAATTATAAGTTTCTTTTTGAAAATGAAGAAAAATTTTTATAAAATTACTATTTATTTTCACAATTTGTTAACAAAATTCTGTTCTTTTTTGAAAAAAAATAATTTGCATCATTTTTACACCAAAATTTACAAAGTTAATATATTTATAAAAAAAATTTTTAGAAAATTTTAAATATCCTTAAGAAAAAAATCCCTATAATTTCTATTTGTTAATTACGATTTTTAACTACATTATTATAAAATTTTGTTAAAAAATTTGCATAATTTCTATTTTTTATTACAATTTTCTAACGAAATCTCAAGTATTTTTGTTAAAGAATTAAAAAATTTTCGTAAATTTTGTTTTTTAACCATATACCTATTGGTTGTGATTACAAAAATTGTATATTTAAAAAAAAGAAAATTTTGAAAATTACCTTTATTATAAGACAGAAAATGACAAAATTACCTTTATTAGAAACAATTTTTTTAGAAATAAATACACCTTTCTTAAAAAATTTTTTAGAAAATGCTAAATCGTCGATTGGGTGCAGAAAGGTGCAAATTCAGACTAGTCGTGAAAAACGTGCCGTTTCAAAAAACATGTTAGAAACCTGCCACTTCAGCTGCGATTTGAAAAACATGCCACCTCAAAATTGACGTTCATTTTTTTTATTTTAGGTACAAGAAAGAAGTTGTCCATCAAATAATAAATAATCAACAAAATTAATTCAATAAATTAGTAAAAATCCTTTTTCAAAGAAAAATAACAATTATGCAAAATGCAACTAAAAAATAATTTTTGTACAACTTTATAATCTGTGCTTCAAATTTTTCTGTACTGCCAAATGTCAACCTAAAATAAAAAAAATGAACGTCAATTCTGAGTTGGCATGTTTTCCAAATCGCAGCTGAAGTGGCAGGTTTCTAACATGTTTTTTGAAACGGCACGTTTTTCACGACTAGTCTGAATTTACACCTTTCTGCACCCAACCGACGAAATTAGAAAATAAAATATATAAATAATAAATAAATAGGCTGATAAATAATAATAAATAATAATTAATATTTTGAGTTTGAATTTTATTACAAAATATGAGCTTAAAAAATGTTTTGAGGGATTTCATGATAAAATTACTTGTATAAAAATTATATTTGGAACTTGAGTTTAGTAGAGACATGTTGATTCTATAAAACTGAAGTTACCAACGTTGTTTCAACGAAAATTTTTACATTTACTAATTACTTATTTCAATTATACAATGCAGAAAAAGCAGTAATTTTGATTTTTTCGCGGATTTTCTAAAAATCCCAGTATTTAAACTAAATTATAATTTCCACGCCTAGGAAGCCATTTTTTTCGTTTGCTAATTATTTATTTTCATGTTAAAAGTTATTAAAAAAGTTTGCAAGATGATTGAAAGCGGTGAAAGCAGTGATTCTAGGATTTATGAAAAATCCATGGCAAACAATAAATATCACTGCTTTCCCCGCCGTGGATTCTCTGGAAATTTTTTTTAAATGGCTTCTGACATTAAAATAAATTATTATCAAAAGAGAAAAATTGTTTCTGAGGCGTGGAAATGATAATTTAGTTGAAATGACGAGATTCTTAAAAAATTATAACTGTTATAAACATGGAACAATATAAATTAAATTTATTAAACTTTTTCTATGGAAGGCAGGTAGACAGATTGCTACCGTGATAATCCCGTAAATCATTCACGCGCGTAGGATTTTGCCTGTTGTTTAATATTCGTTAATTATTGTTATAATTGTTTTCACAATAAGTTGATGATAAATTATTATTTTCTTCCTCAAATCAACAAAAACTAAAAGAATTAAAGATTTGTGACGCGTCGCGAAAAAAAGCACCTATAAGCAAAACGTAAATTTTTCAAGAGGATGAAAAAAGGAAATAGAGAATCAACTCTTTCACGATTATTAAAAAGTAATCTTTAACTTATCTGAAACAACCATAATCAGAAAATCGTTTTTTTTCCTTTTTTTAGTTGCTTTTCTTCGCGACGCGTCATATTTACATCTAACAAGTGGAAAAGTTTTCGCTCGCTTGGCATTTTATTTATGAGCAACAAATTTAGCGACAGTTTAGCAGATCTCGCCAAGTTATACAGATTCGATCCAAATCCACTCAGGGATGAAGATGTTCTCAGTTTGCCAAAAGATCGGATACTAAAAGTTCACTAAATAAAACGAAGCAAGGAAAATTTTTTATTTTCAAACAGATTATAAAAATAGGTTATTGTGAAATATCTACCAGATAGAAGGTAACTTTTGAAAGACGCCACATATAGTAGCGAAAATCAACAAAGTATATCTATTCAAAATTAAAGGTTTTATAACGAAATAGTGAACGACATTTACAATTGTAAATATCTTCAATCAAGGAGATCAATATAATTTTTAAATTAATTTTTTTTTCGACACCGCAATTAAGACATAGAAAACGACTTAAACGCAATGTAATAAAAAGTTTTTGTTATTTTAATGTTTAAATTTGCTTAAATAATGCACTTTCAGATGGTTTCAATTATTAATAAATTATCTTAATAACAAAAAATTATAGTTTAATATAATTTTGAATTTTTTATTCTATAACAACTTTACTGGAATCCCGCAGTAATCGACACACTTCTCCTAGTTATATTTCAATATTAAGTAAGCTGAATTCCTTTCAGATCAATCGCTGATCGTTTCGGGGTCTCTATCAACACATCTTGGAGATGTACTATAAAAGTGGCCAAAGTTTTAAAAGAACTATCTGCTGATTATATAAAGTGGCCTCAACGTGAAGAATTGGTGCGAATTGAAGAAAAATTTAGGGAGATGGCAGGATTTCCAAATACAGTTAGGGCTATTGATGGGACTCATATACAGATATCCGCTCCTCCAGAGAACGCTGTCAGTTATATAAACAGAAAAAATGTTTACTCATTGAATGTGCAAGCAATATGCGATTGCGACCTTAAATTTACTGATGTATTTGCCGGAGTTTGCGGAAGTGTACACGACGCACGTCTTTGGACAATGAGTGACATTAGTGCTGCTATGGTAGCAGATCTAGCACGATTTTGTCCAGGAGAATATTACATTATTGGTGATAAGGCTTATGGAATTGAATACTTTTTGATGACTCCTTATAAAGATAATGGACATTTGACACCTACGCAAGTTCATTTTAATAACATTCTTTCTAAAACGCGAATGGTTATAGAACGTGCGTTCGCCTTATTAAAAGGTCGTTTTCGGCGACTTAAATATATGTATTTACAAAAAATTAAGTATGGAGCTCTCATTATTATGGCTTGTTGTGTTCTCCACAATATATGCCTTGATTTACATGATGATATGAATGAAGAAATATTAAGAAAAGAAAATGTTGTAAACGATGATATTGAAGAGTTTCAAGTTTTGAACAGAGTAAACGATGCTGCCATTCGACGCAAAAGGGATGTTATTGCAGAAATGATTATGCAAGAACATGCAAGAAGAAATTAGACAAATGAAAATTATTATTTTCATGCTTTTTTATCATATCCTGACTTTTCTTTTGCGTTACACATTTTTATAATTATACGAATTATTCTAGCAGTTATTAAAATTTGTTCATTATTATTTAAGTAATATTGTATTATATTTTGTTATTATTCTTTTTTAATTTTATAAACTCTAATTACTCAATTTTTTATACCTATAAGGAGAAAATGTTTCAGAATAAATTATACTGTCCAACACTAATTTTCCTCCTATAATGATTCCAAATACTTTTCACAAATTTTTTCACGATGATTATGAATCATGGATTACTACGTTTTCTCAACGTTCTTAAAGATGAAATGAATTTAGAATATATAGGTACAAATTGGTATTTCGAAAATGAAATAATTTAAGGAAATTGGTGTTTAAAAAAATTTCAGTGAGAATTCTTATTTTTATTATAATAAATCTTTATTGAACACATAAGAGGTCATCAAGCTCCAATTATACAGTTTTATAGAAAATTTTTAAAAAATTAAAAATTCTATAAACCATTTAAAATTAAGATAACATTTTTAAGATATTAGGTTTTACTATTATAATTTGTTTAGATAAACCTTTCTTACACGAAAATTGTATTTTCTCTAATATATTTTCTTGAAACTTCATAAAATAAATCTTGTAACATTTTTTCAATATGTTTAGAATTATCAAAATCTTCATTTCTTATGATTAAATGTCTTCTTTATCACTTAATCGAAAAAAAATGATGATTCGTAATTTTTTTAACATATATTTGTAATTATCAACATTTTTATTTTTTAAAATTAAGTGAGTCTTCATGTCGACTTAATAGAAAAAATACTGATGATTCGTAATAATATTTTTTTAAAAATACTTCTTCAATGCATTAAAACTTAACACAACCTTTATTTTTAAAATTAAATAAGTCTTTTTCTAGACTTAAACGAAAAATGACTGAAGGTTCGTAATAACTTTTTCAATATATTACGCGTTATCAAAATTTTCATTTCTTAAAATTAAGTGAGTCTTCATTGTTGACTTAAACGAAAAACTGTTGATAATTCATATTAAATTTGTAATCAACTTTTTAAATATGTTTTGAAATATCAAAACCTTGGAGATATCTTATAGATATCATATAGTCTTTGGATTGCATTTTAATTTTTGGTAAAATTTTTCTCCACTGTGTCCACATATCGTAAAAGATTTGAAGCAATTTGCCTTTGAACCTCGTTCCTTTCTCTCATAACTTCGCACAATTCTGATAATTCTGTTCCTTTTTTAGACTTTTTCGATTTTTTAATTTTTATATTCTTCTTAATTTTTTTTGGCGATCTTTCTTCTTCTTCACTGCTCGATTTATTACTTTCATTTTGCCTTTCACGAAAGCCTTTTAAATTTGAAGTTAAAGAAACAGGAGCGATTTGTGGCTTATTATGCATATACTCATTTATGATATAATGCTCAAAAATTTTTTCTCCTGACCCACTTTGGCCTTGCGAATCTTTGTGTTCCTTGTACTTAGAGATTAATTTGTTATATTTTGATTGACACTGCGTCCAATTAACTTGTGGATACTTTCCAACAGCATTTAATCGTTTTGCCGCTTTTATAAATACTGTCTTTTTAACGACCCCTTCTTTTTGTCCATCGTTAGTCATATCTCGGTAACAGGAAATCAACAGTGTTATCATAGACTTTGTCCATATCAACTCTGCAAAAAAATAACATATTGCTTTTTTCCACAAAACGAATTTTTTTAATCCCTAAATACATTAAAAGATTAGAAAAATATTATTATTACAGAATGAATAAAAGCAACCCAGTGTGTTTACAAAGTATTTAAAAATAAAAATATGTAATTTATCAAAAATAGAATTAAAAAATTGTTTAATGCAAAATTTAAATAACAGAAGCCATTAAAAAAATCGCAAAAGGATTCAAGGCAAGGAAAGTAGTAATTTTGCAATTTTCTAGCGGATTTTCTGAAAATAATGTTATTTAAACTAAATTATAATTTCCACGCCTTGAAAGCAATTTTTTTCGTTTGATTATTATTCATTTTAATGTTATAAGTCATTAAAAAAATTTGCAAGATGATTGAAGGCGGGAAAAGCAGTGATTTTAATTTTTTTCAATAATGATTTATTTTATATTCAATTAGGGTAAAGTGCGGATAGATGCCCCCTTTCTCAGATCTCCAATATGAAAGAAACTATATTTATGGATTATTAGTTTTTTTATACCTATTGGCCATAACAATTTTACTGTAAAGTTCCAGCTCGCTGGCACCCCGCGGTTATTAGTTATAATAATGTAAAAATTTCAGATTGCTGAAAATGTCCAAAAATTTTCAAACTGCTAGACAAAATTTCTCATTACAAAAATCAAGGATATTTAACATGTAAGAAAATATTTTCAATTATTTTCTTGTTTCAAATTAATCAGAGAAAAATATTAGATCGACGTATTCCATTTTTTATAATAATTGTTGTAATAAATGATAATAACTTACCGTGGGGGGCGTCTTACCCACCCAGGTGGGATATATGGCCAAATGTAGACCTTTTGTATTTTCGTTCTGATTAATTTATTATTTATTGTAGGTATTTGATCCTTACATATTATGTTAATGATAAATAGTAATAGTGTGTAAAAATCGAACAGTCAATTAAAAATATTATTATTTGTTGAATTTAGATGTCATTTTCTAATTGGGGGGAATCTATCCGCACTTTACCCTATTATAAAACTTACAAATTTTAAAATAAAAATTTCAGAGCACAAGGGGCCGTGTACAACTTTAAATAAAGTGATTATATAAAAAATTACTAATTCATAAATACCAGCATTTTCAACAATTGTTTGAAGAGGTGATCCACAATTAGAACTATCTTTTAATGTTTCCACTTCCAGGGAGTCCTTCTTTCTAATTAGAAATTTTCTTATTTCTAACTCCTCCAAGTACATATATCGTACTATACCTGTAAAATTGGTAAATTATCAAATTTAATTAATTTATACTAATAATTAAAAACTTATCAATACCTAACCGAATAGAGTTGAACGAATATTTGGTTATCAAAAATATATTTATTTTCATTTCTGATTTTTTATTAACAACTTTTATGTAAAAATATGGAAAAAAATAATACTAAACAGTGGAATATGTTTAATAAAAAAATTTAATTTTTTAATAAGAGAAAATAGATTTGAGACTGTTCGATGGCCTTCGATGCCAACCCAAATAGAGTTGAACGAATATTTGGTTATCAAAAATATTTTTATTTTCATTTCTGATTATTTATTAACAACTTTTATGTAAAAATACCAAATAAAAATTAATACTAAACAGTAGAATATGTTTAATTAAAAAAATATAATTTTTTAATAAGAGGAAATAAATTTGAGACTGTTCGAAGGCCTTCGATACCTAACCGAATAGAGTCGAACGAATATTCTGTTATCAAAAATATATTTTTTTTCATTTCTGATTTTTTATTAACAACTTTTATGTAAAAATACGGAATAAAAATAATACTAAACAGTAGAATATGTTTAATTAAAAAAATATAATTTTTTAATAAGAGGAAATAAATTTGAGACTGTTCGAAGGCCATCGATACCTAACCGAATAGAGTCGAACGAATATTCTGTTATCAAAAATATATTTTTTTTCATTTCTGATTTTTTATTAACAACTTTTATGTAAAAATACGGAATAAAAATAATACTAAACAGTAGAATATGTTTAATTAAAAAAATATAATTTTTTAATAACAGGAAATAAATTTGAGACTGTTCGAATGCCTTCGATACCTAACCGAATAGAGTCGAACGAATATTTTGTTATCAAAAATATATTTTTTTTCATTTCTGATTATTTATTAACAACTTTTATGTAAAAATACCAAATAAAAATTAATACTAAACAGTAGAATATGTTTAATTTAAAAAATATAATTTTTTAATAAGAGGAAATAAATTTGAGACTGTTCGAAGGCCATCGATACCTAACCGAATAGAGTCGAACGAATATTCTGTTATCAAAAATATATTTTTTTTCATTTCTGATTTTTTATTAACAACTTTTATGTAAAAATACGGAATAAAAATAATACTAAACAGTGGAATATGTTTAATAAAAAAATTTAATTTTTTAATAAGAGGAAATAAATTTGAGACTGTTCGAAGGCCTTCGATACCTAACCGAATAGAGTCGAACGAATATTTTGTTATCAAAAATATATTTTTCTTCAGTTCTGATTTTTTATTTACAACTTTTATGTAAAAATACGGAATAAAAATAACTAGCAGAGTTACGCGCACTAAAGCGCGCGCGATATTTCTGTTTCTGTCTTTTGATACTCAAGACCTTATTTTATTGTGTGTATATAAAAATGTAAGACCTTATGATCCGTTTTTTTCTAAAATATTGGAAAAAGATTACAATTTTTTTTTGAAGAATTAAAAAACATAAAACACGAAAACCAAAAATTAAATTTAACACACTGAGCTATATTGTAAAATGTTTATAAAACGTTAAGGTAATTACAGATTTTTTCAAGAAAATAGATATGTTTTTTCGCAAATAGAATTAACATTACCAATTTGTTGAAATTTGTACCACTGTTAGATAAAAGTTTTTAAAAAATGTAGTTAAATTTTTTAGACCTGTGGGAACTTGTGAAAAAAGTTATAAGCGTCTTTGTTTTTAACTTTTAACATTGAGTTTTGTGGGAATTGAGTACATTTTCAAACATATTTACTCACCACAAAGTACTTAAAATTAAGAAATTAATAAAACATTTTTTAATACGAGACAGATATATAATGGGTAAATATCTGTTTAAAAAGTGTCATTAGGAACCTGTGAGAGTTGGAATAAATTAATTTGTAAAAAATTTTCATGTTTTATACAGTATATTGGACAGCTGTTTGAACATCTGGAAACATTGCACACAATTTTCTACTCAAAACTAAATGTAAACAAGTCATACCAAGCATTTGCAACACGACTAAAGAAATGCTGTGTTGCCATACGTTTCAAAGTACCAAGCAAATCAAATTACA